CAGGCGAGTTCAACTATTTTACTTAATGATTTTTTTTGTACTTAACATGTATATGTTTTTCAGTTGCTTTTGCCATATATTTGTAAGTGTCACTAAGCTAAATGCAGTAACTTCTTATGGAAGGTTTATAACGCATCATATTCCTGCCTGAAGTTTCACAAGCAGTCTTAACTTTAAAATTATTTTCTGGTCATGTTCATTATTTTTAAATTTTTATATACGTCAACAACCTGCATGTTAACCTGGCCCGTACATACGTTTTACTATATCTTCATATCTTTTGAATTTAGAAATCATCTGAATCGCCTTTAACATTTATCAATAAACCCATCATAGTCGTTGTTGCTAATCGTATTTGGGTTTATGGATTGGTGTATCATATTAGCAGCCTAAAATGCGAACATAGTTTAGATAATAAGATTAAAAATTTAGGTACTATCAACTGCACTAGTAAAATAACTAAATCCCCAGGTAGCTGTTGGCTAAACAAACGTTTAAAATCAAAACTCCGTAGCCTACTAGAATTAACACTAAACGAATCTTTCTGAATTAAAATTTATAATTAAATTAGGCGTCTCGGATTCTTTAACGTTATAAATTTCTGATAATTTCGAATCACCTAAAGCAACAATACCTATTTTTCCACTGACTAATCCTTAATCAACACTATAACTAGTTAAATTTAATAGTTTCAGGATATCGTCATAAAGCATTGTCATGACTTGACAATCACGTAATACGATTGATAAAATTAATGAAACTATTAACAAAATCGGTCAGCAAATTGACTTACAATTATCACTAGTGTTGTTTTCTTGGTATCTTCATTCGCTACAGATGATTACAGTAGGTTTCTCTATCAGTTGCTCATTCAGTAAATATCTCAAAACCTTGTCAGTCTAATTGATGGTTTAGCGACACAATCATGCATTCAAATAATCAGTATAAGCAGTCGAGCAAATCTCCTGCAAACTGAAAACATCAATGTCGAATTTACCCCAACACTGACTAAGGTTCAAGCCATTATCATAGACATGAGTTGGGAGTGTACTCCCCTTGGTTACAACTTATGTTCTCCCTGATAATCACATGAGCATCACTCACTGTTAATTATCTTGTAAAATCTTATTTAGCCGAATACATCTTGCAGCACCACATCAACTAGTAATGTGACACAAGCTTCACTGATTTCAATAACTTATAATCACTATATCTCAATTAAATTGTATTCTGCCTTATGATAATAAACTGCATACTTGCAACTAACTTGTATGCCCAATCAGCCGGCAAGTATAAATATAAATAAATAGTCTGCCACAGATCAGAACATTGAGTCTAGAGCATGTCTCTTACGAATACACTCATGTTTAACGATTTGTTCCTAGCTATCTGTCCAAAATTCGTATAATCATCACTCACGTATTTAAATTTTGTTTGATAAACATTCATGTGTATTAGTAGTATTACTAAATTCTATCACGGTCAAGTGAAAATGAGGTTGAGAAAATCTCCCCGTAACTAAGTAAACCGTATCAAACTAACTGGAACACTGGTTGGAATTCTTTTCCATGGTAATACTTTTGTTCTCCCAGTTAGCCTACTAATACAGATGCAATTGGAAATCACATATGGACGGGTTACCGGCATAATTGTTAATTGGTTTCATAAGTTAAACCAAAACTAATACCAATATTAACATTTCTACAATATTCATTACTTTAATATTTCTAAACACAAAATACTTACTACCTATACGTCAAGTTATTAACCAACGGCTATTAACACGCATTGTTTTATTATTATTACTGTAATCCCATTTTTTATAGCTCAAATAATCTTCACCCAAATTGTCATTTTAAGTGTGTTAAGCATGAAGGCAGATTTTTAAAAAAAATTATTACATGTATTTCCCGACCAGATGCTGCCGCCTTCTTTTTGATTTATCTTTCAGCTTATAATTACCCGGGGGATTCTTCCTAGTCTTGGTAACCTTCGGCGCACGACGATCCCATTCAATTTGGTATCGAACCAACATCACGTTGATTCTGGTGGGAGAGTAGTGTAGTGGCATTGGACAATAGTCACACAATCCACAAAGCTGTGAACACGAGACTACTCAGAAAATAGATATTCAATATTTAACGCGGAGAAATACCTAACAATGGAGAAGGCGCAGAGAAGGAATTGAATGGACTGAGTTGATCGAGTGGCATGGCTCGGCCATGCAGGCGTGGTCCCTGCTGGATGTTATCTTATATCTCCTATTCATATTAAATATATTGTTCTTTCTCTAGCCTAACCTTGTTCTACATCATGTATTGGTAATTGATACCACACAGTGAGTTGGTGTAGTCGATGGTGTGACTTCCACGTAAGATCTTATAGATTAGGCAGTTATATCATGACAAATCTACAATTTTAGGATTAGGTCTATTATTAGAGCAGTACTAATATCATAGTAGACCATAATTCTACAAGTTAACCCTCACCTGGCTCAGTGGTTCAGTAGGTTAAGCGTTCGCGCGCGAGACTGAAGGCCCTGGGTTCGAACCCGGCGGGTGGGGTAGTGAATGAGAACTGCTGAAGAGTCCCACAACAGGATGAAACGGCCATCCACTGCTTCCGGGTTTGACTGATTGGTCGGTCGACGCGGATGGATCGATCGAAGATGAATGGAATAAGTTTAAGGCTACAGTCGAGTCCATAACGTCGCCGTTTATCCCATGATCAGCACGTAAGCTATCACATTGCCCTCCATGAATTAATAAAGAAATCCGGAGGCTGTTAAAGCGTAGGAAACACATCTTGTTGGCAGATCATGCATCATTTAAGCGTGAATACCGAAAATTCCGTAATATCTGTAAGAAAACCATAGCGAAATCCCGTACTCCTTACGAACGACAGTTAGTATATGATAGCCGTACTTGTCCGAAACGATTGTTTTCGTATGTTAAACGGCAAACGAAACGTAGTGATGGTATTACCCCGTTACTGTTACACGAAAATTCAGAATTACTAGCTGAATCAGATCGAGCAAAAGCTAAGACTTTTTCAAAATATTTTAGCGAAGTCTGCTCTACGTTTATTGTAACAAATACTTGTCCCACTCACACCGAGATACCAACCATGGAATCTGTACAGGTGACTGAGGAAACTGTCCTTCCGTTGATAACTAACCTCAAACCTGGTAAGATACCGGGCCCTGACGGATTACACCCACGGTTGCTGTCATCTCTTGCGGACATTATTTCAAAACCGCTTGCGACACTCTTCAACATGTCCCTCTCACTCGCTCAACTCCCTAGAGACTGGAAGGACACTATAGTAAGTCCTATATTTAAGGATGGTCAGAGAAAGATAGTATCTAACTACCGGCCTGTCAGGCTAACTAGCATAGTCGTTAAGTTACTTGAAAAGATAATTCGGGTTAGGTTGCTAAGCCACATAGATTCACACAATCTGTTAGCTCCCGAGCAACATGGATTTCGTAACAAGCGTTCATGCTTGACTAACTTACTTATTGCGAGGGAGGATTGAACAGCAGCCTTAGATAAAGGCCTGTCTGTCGATGTGATATTCATAGACTTTAGCAAAGCATTTGATAAGGTTTCACACTTAGGTCTTATGCAGAAGCTCACGAGATTCGGAATAATAGATACTGTGCATGAGTGGATAGGAAACTTCATATGTGACCGGAAATAGAGAGTGAGGGTCAACGGAACGCCATCCGACTGGGAGCCGGTCAAAAGTGGTGTATCCCAAGGCACCATCTTAGGCCCTCTGCTCTTCCTTCTCTACGTAAATGAGTTACCGTTGTTGCTTTGGTCGTCGACATTATTGTTTGAGGATGACGTAAAAATCTGGAGAACAATAAAAAGTGGGGTTGATTATCTGGATCTGCAAGCTGACTTGGACGATTTAGTTAGATGGGCTCGAGGTTAGAGGTAAGAAATCAATGCTAGGAAGAGTGTGCTAATGCACATCGGTCACGGTAACAGTTACCATTATACTACTGATGGTAAACCTCTTCCATGAGTTCAAGAGAATAAAGATTTAGGAGTAGCAATCAGTCATGACTTAAAAACAATTACGCATCGCACAGCAGCCGCTGTCTAAGGTTTTCGTGCGTTATGGTCACTTCGCCGAGCGTTCAAGTTTTTTGACGAGGAAATGTTTCGAATTTTATATCCCACCTATGTAAGACCACACTTAGAGTACTGTATCCAAGCAGCTAGCCCATGTCTTGTAGAGGATACTAACTCCCTTGAGCGTGTCTAGCGTGTGGGAACAAAATTAGCGAAGAATCTTTCTAAACTCCCTTACGATGAGCGTTTAAAACGCTTAAATCTTTTCCCCTTGTCGTATCGTAGAACACGAGGTGACATTATACTGGCATTTTGTATCTTTAATTGTGATTCGGGTGTTAATATGTCTTATCTTTTTGCTCCCTCCAGCACTAATAATCTCCGCGGTCATAGCAAGATGGTTCATAAATCACGATCTAATAAACTTAAAGTGGGGTCCCGTTTTTCTCATCGAGTAGTCAATCATTGGAACGCCTTACACGAAGAAGTAGTATCAGCCTCATCAGTGAATATTTTCAAGAAGTAACTGGAGCTTTACTGAAAGGCATTCTGTCAGGATTAATACAGGTTCACCAACCCATTTGAACCATTTGAACCTACTATCCTTCAAATGGTTCAAATGGTTGTGGACGGAATAGAAGAAGCTTTCGCTTAACAGGCTTCCGTGTCTAGTAGCAGGGGATCACCAAATCCTCCAGGCAGGAACCTAGGTATGTTATTACTGAAAACTGAAAATGTCGATTTTTCAGATATGAAATGAGTCATTAAATTATCTTATCGTTTTGTGCTTCCTTCAAGTGTATAAAGAAAATAATGACCACCCTACTTCTATGTAATCCCTTACCCAGACAGAAGTCCACGTGATAATCCTCGTCCTTGAGGGAGTAGCTATTGGACTGAGGGTTAAATTCAATTATGTCCGAAACATAAGGTAACGTGCTCTTCTTCTAGTAGCCATATTCTGTATCAAAATAAAGCGCTTTATATTGCTAGTGGATTACTAGCTGTTTCTTCAGGTTATTCAAGGATGTTTCACCACTTAAATGACACTTCGAAGAACTTCGTTGTTGATTCTATTCTTCACGATGGCAATGAAAAATCAAATGTAGTCTGATATCTATTGGACATAGCCAAGTTTCTGCTGTCGATATTATTGAGATTTTGGTTTTGAAGCTGTTGGTTCCGCGTATTCGGGCTTACTGACTGACCATGTATTTGTAATGGTTGCTTTTAAGTTAAGTAATATTGTTCTAAGTAGTGTTTATTTTCTCGGCTCTCCCCACATTTAAAAAGAAACTCTTTCAAATATTTGGCCAGCTCTTGAAAAGCAAACTTATATTGGCTTCCACTGCGTGATAATCTAATCCATACCAGGCTGATAGTATCAAGATTCATACGACGGTTCTGTAATGTGTGTTTCTGTTTGACTGCCATTGTTTATGTGTACTCACTATTTCATTGTTGATATGTTCATCATCGTTTTTGTCTGACTTACTTATCCTTCGATCTGTAAAGAAATGATGACTTCTCGGTTTAATGTTCACCAAGTACTCGTGCTCATTATTGGATAAACATTTATGCAGTTTGCTGATTCATGAAAATGAACTATCAGCTTCATAGTATTAATATGTCTTGCATAGATTCTTGAGGCATATTTTCACTGGATGAAACAAATATTTATTTAGAAATTTACTTATAAACTACTGGTATTTACTTATTTAAACACATTGGTGCAGGGATGCAATAAATGGATATGCGCCACATAAATCATTCGATTTGTGCGAGGGATGGGATGCTGCCCGGGTACCCAAGTACCAAAGTAGATGGTTTTCTTGGAGGGCCATGCTCCGAGCCTTTGACCTACAGGTCTAATCCACAAGGCAGTAGAACAACGTAAGGAGTCGCAGTCCCATGGTAACCGGTGACCAACAATTGGTTCATACGCCATTTGTTTCTTTAGGATCCTGGAGCCCATGTTCGCCATTGGTTTGGAATCGGTTTTCCAACTCCCCTGGGTGTGTCCTCCGTATCCACCAACCCGGCTAAATCCCTGGATAGTTTCAGTTTGGAAAGGACATGTTTGATGGCCTGTGTTAGTCTTGGCAATAGTGGTCTCTCCGTTGATCCAACTTTCTTTTGAAAGTGTGGACGGATGGAGCCTCAACCACGTGCTGAGGTAATGAATTCCACTCGTTGATGATTCGATGGGAAAGTCGATAGTCAGCTGACAAGTAATTTGTTCTGGGCTTGCGAACATTTTGGAGTGTCCTTGTAAATTTTCTGTTTTGGAAGACAAGAAAAATGAGGACATATCAAGTGAAAATTTATCACTAAGCGATTTGAAAACTGTAATCAAGTCGCCTCTAGTTCTACGATATGACAATGGGAATAGGTTTAGCTTGGTCAGTCGAGCCCCCAAATGCCCTGGTACGGCCAAGATTGGGGAGAGTCCGCTCTCCCTCTCGAAATACTCTCATACGGCCACGCGTATACAGCCTCTGCCAGGGAAGTCCTACTCACTGCCTTCTCGTGGCGGGGGTGTTGTTTACGAAAATAAGAGTAGGAAAAGCGAATGTCCGGCCCTTTAACTGGATCCCAAACCAATGGTGCACATGGGCTCCAGGATCCTTCGGGAACAAATGGCGTATGAACCAATCGTTGGTCACCGGCTACCATGGGACTGCATCTCCTCACGATGCTCCACTGCCTTGTGGGCTAGACTTTAAGGTCAAAGGCTCGGGGTATGGCCCCCTAAGATAACCACCTTCTCCGGTCTGGGCACCCGGGCAGTATCACGACCCACACACAAGTGATGAGCTGCCTATAATTATGGTCAGTCGAGCATCATACGGAAGCTTCTCTATTCCGGGAATCAGCTTAGTTGCTGTTCTCTGAACCTTTTCCAAAAGCTCACTGTCGTTTTTTAAGCAGGAGCTAGCCGCTTGTATACAGTACTCAAGTTTAGGATGTACAAACACTGTATACAAAGTCAAAAACGTTTTAGCGCCGACATGACTAAAAGCCCTACGTATTGACCATAAGGTTCTAAAACATTTGGCGGCTATTGCACGGCAGTGTGTAGTAGTTTTTAAGTCTTGGTTAACGATGACTCCTAAGTCATTATGTGTCTCGAAAATAGGTAGCTGTGTTATTCATCGTGTATGTACCTGTACTTTGATGACCGATATACATGACAACACACTTGGAAGTATTTATCGGCAACTGCCATGCTTGAGAACATTCAGATAATTTCTTCAGGTCATTTTGGAGTTCTAAGCTATCACCCTTACATCGTATCGTTCTCTATATCTTGACATCGTCAGCATATAGCAAGACTGATGATAATGATGATAGGAGACAAGGAAGGTCATTTACATACAAGAGGAATAGCACTGGCCCCGAAACTGTACCCTGGGGCACTCCATTAAGCACAGTTTCCCAGCTAGATAACTTTGAGTTTACCTGTGCTCTTTGTTGGCGCCCAACTAGGAAGTGTTTTATACACATCAATAGAATGCCTCCAATTCCGACATTTCTTAGCTTATATAACAGCAGGTTATGCGGAACTTTGTCAAAAGCTTTGTTGAAATCAATGTAGGCTACGTCTGCAGGTAACTTTTGGTCCTTAAGAGCGCACCAGCTTTCACGAGCGACTAATAAGTTAGTGAAACAAGAATAACCTATTCTGAAACCGTGCTGCTTCTCCGAGAGGATCCGGTTTTCATTGAGGTAATTAAACTGCTCTTTCTTTTCTAATATTTTAACAACCACACTAGTTATGCTAACGGGTCAGTAACTCTCAGGTTTATGTTTCGTACCTGTTTTGAAGACAAGACTTACTATGGCGTTCTTCTAGTCTTTTTGTAAAAGACCCCGGGTTATGGATAGATTAAAGCATATACTTAAAGGGTTTGCAACGAAGTTAGATAATTCTTTTAGTAGCCTAGGATGCAATTCATCGGGCCCCATGGATTTACCTATGTCAAGCTTATTTAGCAGACCGAAGACATCGAGTTCTTTGATTGTCACGCTATCTAGTGCATGTGTGGGGGGTTTTGTATGCGCTGACGGGAAAGATGCTTCTATGGTATTTACATTGATGAAGTAGTTTGGGAACACTTGAGCCTTACCAAAGTCATCTTCCACTAATGATGCGGTAGTACTGTCTCCCCATAGTGCAGGAATATTTCCCCTCCTTTTTGTCCTTTGGTTTATATAGGAATACAAGCGCTTAGGACATTCCATGGATTCCTTAACAATTTTTTTCTTCGTACAACTTTCTAGACTTACGGAGCGTCGAGGCACAGGTATTCCGAGCTTTTTGAAACTGAGATTTTGTCTCATCAGTCCCACTAACCTAAATCTATCACACATTTTTCTTCTCTTACGGAGAAGGATGCGGACCTCCTTACTGAACCGTGGTGGAAAGTTTCTCGGCCCCTTGGTATAGTCCAAGGGATGTGGGGTGCGGTAACTTCTAAGTATAAATTTCGAAATGCGTCCTATTCGCTTTTCGTTCTCTCGATTTCGTGAAAAAGACGCCCCCCCCCGCGAAAAGGCGGTGGGTAGGACTCCCTTGGCAGTTGTTATTCACGTGGCCATGTGAGCGCATTTCGAGAGTGAGGACCGACTCACCACTCTGAGCTGTACAAGGGCATTTGGGGGTAAACTACTTGTACATTTATCATAGTGTAATGTAGATCATTTGTTCCCTTCTGATTTTCAATCTCTAGCAAATTCAGCACTCTATATTCGATGATCAAATTATACTGAGAAAAATATTAGCTAGGTTACCAGATCACTTGCTTTGTTCTATTTGTCTGTAAGTTCTTGTCGCGCTGCGTTCTAAACGTTTTGCTCGGGGATTCAGAAGTAATGAACTTGTTCGCCCATGTTCTGATGGTTACGACTCGCCATTTTTTGTGATTCGTCTTCATTTTGCGTGTTTACGGAAAGTTTTGTTTCCTGATCGCTTCTAATATTTCATCTATTTCATCTAACAATTGTCATCTTCCCATTTTCATTCTTTTAAATTTTCGACTTAGATAACTAAATCTATGGCTGAGAACAACGAAACATATTATCTTCACAATGATTGTGTTTCTGAAATCAAGAAAATATTTTCAGATGTCCCCTTGTCAGAGCTGGATGACGATGCACTAGTCAATAATTTGTTGGAACGGTATGCTCCCATATTATTTGAACTTTGCATTCAGATCTGTTTCCGTCTTACAAGTGATCGACCATGCCATGTCCTATTTTGTTGCTGTAAATTTTATCGGCGGATCGGTTGACGAGTCTTATGAGCTTGGTGGATGTTGCCAGTTGGCATTGGAAGATCTGTGCTGTGAAGGCGAATATCCTTTCAAACTTACTAAGTCACTTACTTTGCTTTGGTTGTGTAAGCGGTTGTGCAGGACAATGTGCATGGTTTCTCAAACTCTTGTATGTTAGGTGTCTTCTCCAACGATGTTTTTATTTCAGTCATTCTTGTATCATTTGAATTATTTAAAATGCATTTATTTACATCAATACCTGATTGGTGATGAAAGGTCACCCAAACTAAAAAGTGAATTCCAAGATATTATCAACGTGTGTACGTAATTTGGATATCTAATGAAGTCACTTACTAGGTGAGGAATGCCTTGATTCAACCCACACTACTGAGGACGTAATTCAATACTTGATGTTATCATCATATCTGAGTGCTTTTTATTATGAATATGAGGCTTCGAAAACATTCGCTTCAAGATGTGCTCAGTATTTAAATATTGACGTAAAATTTTGTGGTAAACGTATCACTCATATATTTCACAAAATCAACAGGTGTCCTGGGTAAATGTACCAGATTCCAGGAAAAGGAGGTAGCAAATCTCACAGTTAAAGTTAACAGAGTAGTTGAAAGTAAAGACAACAAAACTTCAGGTAACTCCCCATTGCCGCAGGTAATTGTATTTTACATTATTATATATTTTCTTAAGATAATTCCTCTTAGTGACGATGTACTTCTCAACAGTGTGGTATTTAGTACAATGGAGGAACAAAGTATTCTCTCTAATACTGAACAGTCTTTCATTTTATTATTGTGGTAAGGTGGTTTTATAACTTGTATGTAAATCTGGCTAGTGAACTTCATCGTCGTCACTATCCACGAGATGATTTAACAGAACAGCAGTGTTTAGCTTACATCAATACAGTTATCCGGGCTGTTTACCCGGATTCTGAAAATGAAATCAAAAGTAGTTCTTCTTGGCCTATTGCGACAGAAACGTTGTTTAGAAGAAGTTTACTGGAACATAATTCTGTTAGAAAAACTGAGCGTGCATTATCTCAGTTAGAGGTAAGAATTCCATCGTATATTCGACCAGAATGTTTTGATTTACTTATTTTAGGAGTTAAGCTGTCAGTTTAAAAGAACTAGCCCATCGTTTTCTGAGAGATCTCCCAGTAGCTTCTTTCTTTCCAGAATGCCGTCTATTTGGACTCTCCAAGTAAGCACTTAACTGTATCTACTTCATTTAAATTTTTTTCACGCATACAAAGGCAGCTTGTATAGATTTATAGGAATCAATCTCAAAAGTTTTAAATTGTTTTTATTTAACGAGTTACGACAATAATTAACTAAATTTTTATGCTTGATTGAAAGGATGTATGGGCTAAACTGTAATGATTGTTGAGGTAAGTAATATTAACACTATCACGCTTATGTTTTTATTTGTATACGGCATATGATATTTTAGCTAATGCGTAGTTTGTCTTAGACATGCTTTTATCAACGTGGCTGCAAACGATTTTTTAGCTTAAAAGTATTTACAATCTCTTTTAATATTATTAGCTGTCTCCGCTCTGCAGTCATGCTAGGGTACATTTACTACACACTATTTATTTTATGATTGCATTTTGTACTACAAAACGGCGAGATATGATTTTTCAAGATGTTGAGAGACTTTATTTTCAAGATTTATGTTATATAACTACTTTGATCATTTTGCGTAAATGTTATGTCCAGTCGCTTGTCTTTTTCGTAATTAGCCTTTACATATTCCATTACTTAGGACAAAAATTGTCGTACTGATTAATTAAGTTGGGTTGTTCAAATATCTTGGAACCAATACTTAGACACGACATCGAAAATTATTTGATGGTAGTTTAATACTTTTTGCGTAGTCGTTTTTTTGGAATTGCTGAGTTACTTTGACTTTAGATGAAAGAGAAGTTGTAGTTGAACTATAATTGTTTTTCATATATGCCAAATCCATTAAATTATGATTCATAAAAAATGATGTGACTATCATGATGGCTTGAGATTCAAACACTTCCTGAGGTATGAAATTCTTACAAAACGGAAGTTTAAGGCTTCATATTGATTTTTCAAACTGTTCGTTCATGAAATGATTTACAAAATTGTAGAAAAGCCCAATTTGTTTGTTTTTAACGAATCACTTTATAATAAGTTATACTATTATGTTATTGGTCTATGTATCTACTACATTTTGAATGAACTAGTACTTACCTACTTACGTCTGTTACTCCTCGTAGAGGAGCATAGACTGCCCATCATCATTCTCCATCCAACTCTGTCCTGGCAGTCCTTTCCAGTTGCTACTAGTCCTTTTAATATCTGCTTCCAATTCTCGGTGCAGTGTGTTTTTTGTTCTTCTTTCCCGTTTCCTTTCAGGATTCCGAAATAGCGCTTACCTCGTGATTTAGTTTGATTTCAGCAATGTATGTCCTATCTTCTCTCAACGTCTTTTCCTAATTTCCTCTTCAGATGAAAGCTGGTTTGTTCTCTCTCATAGTAGGTTGTTGATGATAGTATCTGACCAACAGAAGTTGTGTATCTTGAGTAGACAATCGTTTATAAATATTTGTACACTTTTGATGATGAGTGTAGTAGTTATCCAAGTTTCACTGTCTTGATGTTCTTATTGAGAATTCTGACTTTGATATTGGTTGACAGTTGTTTTGAGTTCCATATATTGCTCAGCTGTAGGAATGCTGTCCTTGCCTTGCCAATCCTCGCCTTCACATCTGTATCTGATTCTCCTTGTTCATGGATGATGCTGTCCAGGTACGTGAGAGTTTCCACCTCTTCCAGAGTTTCTCCATCAAGTGTGATTGAATTGGTATTCTCTGTGTTGTATTTGCAGTGTAGTCCGTAGTATGAGTCCCTGATGATATTGAAGATTTTCTCAGATACAACATAGTGTCGAAAAAGTTTCCATAAAGTCCTCCTATCCACACTGTAGAATGCTTTTTCATAGTCAATGAAGTCGATGTAAAGTGACGAGTTCCACTCAACTGATTGTTCAATCCGGCCAAACAAACTAGTAGCAGTTATTAGGATGTGGGACATTCCTTAATCCCTTAATTAAATTTCTCTTTTCATCCAGGTTGAGCAAGGTCGACTACTTATGAAAATAGGATGTTACAAAAGTGCTCTGGACATTTTTCTGTTATGGGACAAGTGGTCTGAAATAATCGAATGCTATATCCACCTAAATAAGAGAGAAAAAGTATGTTCTATTTTTTTCACTGAAGGTTTCTGTGTATTACTTATCCGCTTTTAAAGATGATACTGTATATTGGATAAGATCACTACCTTTGTGTATATTCTATGTTATAACTCGGTCGGTTATCACAATCAATGACTTTAAATTATCTCATAATACAGTCAGTCAGTCACAACGTAGAACTTCGTACGTACGTACATCAGTTCGAGTTGCCACACCACATTAGCATAGAGATGCAGTGGTCGATTCAAATCCCGTAGCGGTAGAGGTAATAAGAGTATAAGCAGTAATCGGGAAGATTAGGGTTTGGAGATGTTATTTAAAGAGTATAATCCAGTGAAATAAATTTGAGAAGAGAAAAAAGAAATGGACATGAAGAATTCAGAAGATTAGAATTTGGGAGAACAAAGAGTGGATGCACCTGCGCCATTGCAAACGATTTTGAGCCGTGTCGTTCAGGGTCTCTAACCATCGGTTGCTATCATCTCGCGGTCCACAACCAGGTAGTCTACACCTACCAACATGGCTCAGTGCACTTGTCAGTGACTTCATGGACTTGTGCCATAATTTGGTCTGACCACCCCTAGCTTTCTTCCAACCTACTCCTATACCACTGAACATAGCCCGTCGAGGCAGTCGGTCGTTGGGCATACGTAACACGTGTCCCAGCCATCTCAACTGATGAAGTTTCACTACTCTATCAATTGATTTGCCATCCTTAACTAGTACTCGTTTCGTAACAACTGTGTTACTTACTCGATGGTCCTATGATATACGAGCAATGTTTCAAAGACACCTATGATCGAATACTAGTAACCTACGGATATCCTCTACTCTTACCGGCCATGTTTCACTTCCATAAAGTAGGACGGAACGAGTTGCTGCGCAGTAAACACGTCCTTTGGTTGATAGACGGATATCTCGCCTACGCCATAAATGACGCAAGTTGGCAAAAGCTAGTCGAGCCTTCTGTATCCGTGTTGAGATTTCGTCACACACCAGACCACAAGGGCTGATGAGACTTCCAAGATAAGTGAAGCGGTCGACACACTCAACTACTTCACTCCCTATCACTAGTTCGGGTGTCGATGTAACCCAATCCTGAAGTAACATTTTGAATTTGGAGGGAGAGAATCGCATCCCGAACATGCTTGCATTGTTGCTTAGAGTGGTCAGAAGACTACATTTTGTCTGCGTCTTCGCCAAATAAAACTATGTCATCTGCATATTCTAAGTCAACAAGTGAACCTCCCGGTAGAAGTTCAACCCCTGGAAATTTAGATGAGGAGAGTGTTATCTCTAAAAGTACGTCGACCACAAAGTTGAACAAGAATGGGGAGAGTGGACAGCGCTGACGAACACCACTTGAGGTAATCAATTTTGATGACAGTTCGCCATAAGTTCTCACTCTACCAGTTGTGTTCGAGTAGAGAGCCTTTATATGGTTAATGTACTTCTTTGGTACTCCTTTCAGTGACAAACACTGCCATAGAACCTTACGATCAACAGAGTCGAATGCCGCCCTAAGGTCGAGAAATAATCGCGATCATTGTGTAGGCTTCTTTTCAGCTTATGCTTAATCTGACTCCGCTCTTCATTATGTTCAGAGCCAGGTGGAATGAGTTTCCGAGCATCTATCAGTGCGATAGATGCTGTTGAGATCCAGTGCTGCTCCCTAACCTTCTGGTTTACCTTACTAGCAGATATCACTGCTGTTTCCACAGCTTTTCGGATATCATTCCATGCTGCATCGGGGTGGGCATCACATACATCACTGCCTACTGTTTTCCTAGTTGTTCCTGAAATATACTCTTAGCTTGACTATCATTAAGTAGACTCCTAAGAGGTTTCCTTGCAGCGTCTTTCCTACGTCCAGTAAGACGCAGGCAAATACGTGCTCGCACTAGAGCATGATCTAAATCTAAGCATGTGCTCCAGAATGAGCGACAGTCTTCTATCGAGCCCCTCCACCGGTGGCTGATAGCGATGTGATCTATTTGAGTCCAACGTTGGGACGAATTAGGGGGTCGCCATGTTCAAATATGTTTTTCCTTATGCTTAAAGTTAGTATTTTCAAGAAAGAGGCGGTTATCTGAGCATAGCTGCAACAGACGGTCGCAATTATCTGTTCTTTGAGCCACGATGCTATAAGATCCACCTAGGTGTCTTTCTCTATCGCTTAGTTTACCTACTTGAGCATTAAAGTCACCAGCCACCATTACTACATCCGAGCGCCTAACTTTTCGGAGAAGGTCGGAGAGCTTTCTGTAAAACTCATCTTTTACATCATCTGCGCTGCAGTCAGTGGGAGAATAGACAGAGACGACGAAGAGGCAACGACGAGTGTCCCTATCTTTCTGAGTCTTTACTGTTCCGTTTAGTCGGACAGCGCACAAACGACTGTCTACTGGGATCCAGTCTAAGAGAGCTAGTTCTGCCCTAGGACTCAATGCTATACCTACGCCGGCGAGGCCACAGGAAGCAGAATCAGGGCTTCCAGATACACGAATTGTGAATCGAATTGGTTCTTTATTATGGCATGGCGAGGTCAAATGAATGACGCTACTCGGATCCTGTATGCGCGTTTCGGAGACGTAGCACACATCAATGGCGCGAGATTCTAAAGTCATAGCTAAGGAAGCCTGTTGTCCTATTTGGCACAGTGTTCGGACGTTGAAAGTTCCTACGTGTAGTTTAGAGCGTGGTTTCAGGAGACCGGGAATAGCGTTCCGCGTACTCGAATCGTTTGCCCTAGCGGTGCGAAGTGATAAAGAGTCGTGAGGAGGGTTAGTCATGGAGATAAGAGGTATTAGAAGGTGTAGGAGGGATTTGAATGTGACCAACTTGGTCTCGTGTGCTGTTACGGGTATGAGGGCTGATGTCACTTCCCGACTGCCCACACTGTGGAAGGGAATTTCTTGAGGAACCTGAAGAGGAAATTGGATTAGTGTTGTTCTTGACGACCTGGGAGCGTGACCGCAGAGCCCAAGGGACAACTGCTTGAGGCCGGTCGCGCACGGCCTTTTTGTGGAAGGTTTTTGACGTGTTAGCTCCGTTCTTCAAAGGGCGTTACCGCCGGAGACGGGAATCCGTGAGGTAAGGTGAGGTGTGACATTTTTTAGGTCGACCTTTTCTAACCCCACCCCTCCTTGTGGGAAGGCAGCATCGCTGTCATGCTGGTTGTCCGGGGAAACACCTTACTGCTGTCACACCTCTGTACAGTCAGCAGTACGACTTCGCCCTCAGACCTTGAGTTGGTGCTTTCAGTATTACCGTTCAACAATCGACCTGCCTGGCATGGTAGAACCTACAGGAACATATGTTCCAGCCAATATAGCTCGGTTGGGTCATCACGATAGGCAAGCCCGACCACCGCGTCAAGGTAGCAGCTTCGGTCGGGATCTCATAATACAAGTAGTGACTGTGTCTTAAGATATCGATACTAACGTCGGACTTGATAATTTCAGATAAATTGCTTACTGTGTAGAATGTTAGTGTTAAAAGAATGGTATTTTTTTATATCCAAATGAGTAGCAGTTCGTGTCACTACTCATTGGGATATCACAAATCTATTATTATTTTACTAATGACTGTGTTTTGTTTCAGAAACATTAGCATGAGTAGTATACAGCAGACTACATGAAGAATGAATGGTAATTTAATACTGAAATGAACACAAATGAATTCAAAGTATTCTGACTGCAGCTTTTCGTGATTTCTACTTTGTGGAATATTTTAAAACCTGAGCTCATTCAGTCATCAAAAATGAAGCTCAGTTAAAAGTGTTTAACAATATCATCACTCCATAGTAGAATATTGCGTTTATGTATTATTTAAATGTACATATAGTCCAAAATAACGTTTTCCTTCCAAAATTGACTTCCCAAACTATATGCGTTTTGCTCATGAAGTAGGTTAATTTGAGATTTCCTGTATCGGTAAACAAATAGTGCACCTGTATATTAGGATCTTCGATATATATATATATATATATATATATATATATATATATATATATATATACGTATTCTTTCAATGGTTGAGTCAGTTTTAGCTAAACAACCATGGAAAACCTGGTAGCACTGGACGGTCGTTTCATCTTATTGTGGGACTCCTCAGCGGCGTTCATCGACGATCCCGCTCCGCGAGATTCGGACCCAGGACCTATCAGTCTCTCGCGCGAGAGCGCCGGGTCAGTGGTCTAGTGGTTAAACGCTTTAATTGACTCATGATCTCAACCACTGAAATTACTGCAATATCCACAAAAACCCTTCTCATATTCATATTCGTTGGTTGTAAACGAAATGAACAGACTAAACAAAAATTACGGTTGCTATAAGACTTAAACTATTTAACATCACTTTGTTCTTTTTTATTTCCGGTCATGAATGCTGAAGAGATCTGTAAGACACTCTTTTCAGCCTTGTAGCTCAGTGTCAGGAGTATGAATAAATACATAATCTCTTATGATCTATCATATTATTCTTTTTATTTAAACACATAAACATTGGTACAGGGATGCAATAAATAGATATGCGCCACATAAATCATTCGATTTGTGCGAGGGATGGGATGCTGCCCGGGTACCCAAGTACCAAAGTAGATGGTTTTCTTAGAGGGCCATGCTCCGAGCCTTTGACCTACAGGTCTAATCCACAAGGCAGTAGAACAACGTAAGGAGTCGCAGTCCCATGGTAACCGGTGACCAACAATTGGTTCATACGCCATTTGTTTCTTTAGGATCCTGGAGCCCATGTTCGCCATTGGTTTGGAATCGGTTTTCCAACTCCCCTGGGTGTGTCCTCCGTATCCACCAACCCGGTTAAGTCGCCGTACATTCGCTTTTCGTTCTCTCGATTTCGTGAAAAAGACGCCCCCCCCCCGCGAAAAGGCGGTGGGTAGGACTCCCTTGGCAGTTGTTATTCACGTGGCCATGTGAGCGCATTTCGAGAGTGAGGACCGACTCACCACTCTGAGCTGTACAAGGGCATTTGGGGGTAAACTACTTGTACATTTATCATAGTGTAATGTAGATCATTTGTTCCCTTCTGATTTTCAATCTCTAGCAAATTCAGCACTCTATATTCGATGATCAAATTATACTGAGAAAAATATTAGCTAGGTTACCAGATCACTTGCTTTGTTCTATTTGTCTGTAAGTTCTTGTCGCGCTGCGTTCTAAACGTTTTGCTCGGGGATTCAGAAGTAATGAACTTGTTCGCCCATGTTCTGATGGTTACGACTCGCCATTTTTTGTGATTCGTCTTCATTTTGCGTGTTTACGGAAAGTTTTGTTTCCTGATCGCTTCTAATATTTCATCTATTTCATCTAACAATTGTCATCTTCCCATTTTCATTCTTTTAAATTTTCGACTTTTATACTCGAAATCCCCACCCTCAGCCATACTGAGACATTTGGGAACTATAATTTATCAGGGTTTTCAGTTTTAAAACTAGTGCAACTGAATGGACTAAATATAAATAGTCACTTTGTATAACTTTGTCAGTATTTATGTATGAACATTAAGAATATTATAATACTTCATATAGAAATCATTTGAGAGTGAAATAAATTCATTCCGCAATAATTATAGTAAAACAATTGATCTTTTGGAATTCCAATGATAGTTATTACTTCCAACTATACACTTGATTGTTGTCATTAATTTAATAAGTATAACTGATATAATTTGTTGTTATTTATGGTTGAGTAGAATAATTATTTTGAGGTTAACATTTCAATTACTGCCACAGTATCATTATATGTGACAATTTCTTTCATGAATCGGGAATGTAAAAATATTTCATTGTATTCGAATATAGTTTTTATGAATCCATTCATGTATAGTACTTAAAAAATTGTTCATTTATTGTTTAATGTTTCTATTGTAAAAACGTCAGTTTTTGTCGTAGTGAAGTTTTATCCACATTTTGTTCCATTTAATTGTAATTTCATGAAACATTTTACTTATTATTTGCTCATTATGTATTTTGTTAACATAATCAGGCAGAAGAAGTGATTCGTTCTCGTCTAAATTCTGGAGATGAATCTGCTGAATTATATTGTTCTCTTGGCGATGTGACAAATGATCGCCAACATTATTTAAAGGCTTGGGAAGTATCCTATTGTAAGTCGGCTCGAGCAATGCGCAGCCTAGCTGTTACATATATGTACACAGATAAAGTTTGTTTGGAATTTTCCATACTATCAAATTAATTTCATTAACTTATGTAGGACTATCAAAAGGCAATTGAATGTTTTCAAAAATCACTAGAAATTAACACTATGCAAGTGAGTTCATTATAAATCTTTCATTTTTTATTTGTTTACTAACTCATTTTATTAGAATGAATTATCATAAATTAAATGCTCGTAGTTATTTGTGGTAAAAATTCAAATGTATTGACTTGCCCCAGAAGTACATAAACCTTATAAAGGCTCTTTACTCGAACACTACTAGTCGAGTCAGGGCTTATGGCGAACTGTCATCTACTTTTGCAACCTCAAGTGGTGTCCGACAAGGCTGTTCACTTTCTCCATTTTTGTTTAACTTCATCATAGACCTGTTGATAGAAATAACATTCTCGTCGACTGAATTCTCGGGTATTGATCTCCTACCAGGAGGTCCACTTATCGACTAAGAATACGCAGATGATATAGTCCTGTTTGGTGAAGACGCTGACAAAATGCAGAGTCTTTTGGTAGCACTGAGCAACAATGCCAGAATGTTTGGAATGCGCTTCTCTCCCTCTAAATGCAAGTTGTTGCTTCAGGACTGGTCTGCGTCAACACCTGAACTAAGGATAGGGAGTGAAGTAGTCGAACGCGTTGACAACTTCACTTATCTTCGAAGTCTGATCAGCCCTAATGGGTTGGTGTCTGACGAAATCCCAGCACAGATTCGAAAAGCTCGTTTGGCTTTTGCCAACTTACGTCACCTGTGGCGAAGGCGAGATATCCGTCTATCAATAAAAGGACGAGTATACTGCGCGGCAGTCCGTTCTGTTTTAATTTACGGCAGCGAAACATGGCCATTAAGAGTAGAAGACACTCGTAAGCTACTAGTATTTGACCACAGATGCCTTAGAAATATTGCTGGCGTCTGCTGGGATCACCGGGTAAGTAATAGTGAGGTTAGACGCAGGGTATTTGGGGATGATGGTAAATCAGTTGACGAGTTTGTTAATCTTCATCGACTGAGATGGTTAGGCCACGTGTTACGTATGCCTGAATACCGATTACCACGACGTGCATTGCTATCCGGTATTGGAGATGGTTGGAAGAAGGTTAGGGGCGGCCAAACCAAAACGTGTCATCAGTGCTTGAAGTCACTAACTTCTAGTCTGAGCCATGATGGTAGATGCAGACCACTTGGTTGGGGTCCGCGTGACTATCGTAACCAATGGTTGGAGACTTGGTGTATACACTCTCTGTCTTCCCTTAAACTAAGAGATTAAAATCGCTTCATATCTTTCTTTCTACGAACCAATTCTTTCTTCCTGTACTATATCCTTATTGCAATCTTTCTTTTATATATTACCACCTCTTAATTAACCACTTATAGGAATCTGGTGTCCATCTTGTGTTAATGAGGTATGGCAACCTGGACCGATGCATATATGTGCCTGGTCCTACGTTGTAGCTGACTGATTGACTGACTTGCTTTGATGTATGGTCAACTACTTGTTCAAACTATTCAAAATTTTAATTATCACTAAGGGGTTATGAGGATTCTTGAACCTCATTGAAATCGTGAACTGATCTAACGTGATTGGTTGCCAGTTCAATGGTCTGGCGGTTAGGCCTTCGTGCGTGAGCTTAGCTATCTTGAATTTGGTTTCCGAGTGTGGGATCACGGATGCGCACTTCTGAGTAGTGATATATTGTGACGAAACGACCTTCCCATGCTTCTAGGTCCTCAATGGTTGTCCAGCCTAGATCGTTTCATGTCCTTAATCAAAATTTCCATGTTAACTTTACCTTTAATATCTAGTTGCTTAACTCTTACGATAATCTGTCAATGTATCTCCACGAGTTCACACTTTTTTTACACTAATATTTCTCGAAATTCGATAGACACTGAATTCTTCTCATTTAATATCCTCTTCCTCTAAAGAATTCGCTTTGTTTTTACAAAGTTGGTTTTTATCAAGTCTCTGTATTTTAAGTTTTTCTTCCATATCTATCTTCCAGACTGCATTTCTGTATATATGAAATGACGCAGGATTTTGAATCTTTGGTAATTAATGACTATTATTGCAAACATAGTAATTTTGATTGGAACGTTTTTTTTTGACAGTCAAGATGGAATCAACAAGGAAGATCATTCTACTGCATATGCTTATCGTACTAGCCAAATTGTCTGTCTTTATTGAACAACAAATTACTTAAATATGTACTAAACTACTAACAGTTTATGAGTAGATTAAATTACTTATACTAAGTAATAAATTACCGAACAGTTGGTTTTGCATTTTACCCCTTTGTAGTTTCCACTATGATCCCCATCCTAGAGAGGCCACACGACTATCCATTTTCTGTTAGTGAATATTGAGTTCCTATTTATAACGATATCCGCAAAGACTTTATTCTGAATTCAAATTTTCACATGACCTTTGCTCTTTCAAGGTAGGGCTTTGTCACTTTTAGTTTGCCTATATTCTCAGTCTCAAGGTCATGCTTTTGTTACCACATATACGAGGTTACTTAATTTCGTTATGTAATCCTTAAATATCAAGTTTTTTTCTTCGCTGTTGAAAACACTTGTGTGTCAATTGTTTGTTTGAGTTCACGTAGATTCTTTAGGTATCAGAATCATCGCAGCTGTTATTGATAGTAACTACAGTAGGCCCGGTCAAAACCCAGTCCTAATCGTTTATCGAGGTTTAACTGTGTTACGTTTGGAGTGATTACGATATCCCCGTAACCGGTGTAAAGAACAAAAGTCAGCAACACAAACTATTCACTTCGCCCCAACCCTAATTACTAGAGGGCGAAGGTCAGATTCAGCTGAAGAAAATGCATATTCCACAAGGAGCTCGATGCACGAACAAACAAGCACGCGACTGATGCGTATATATACAGTACAAAAATGTCCTTGTAAAACGTCGTAAAACAGTGTACTAAAAGGGTAGACGAACCAATAACGTTTAAAGTCTTCTCAAATGTGGAGTACAAACGGGAGGTAAAAGTGGTCGCTTTTGGCACGAAAATGAGAAATTCAAATTGAATTCAAGTTAAATTACAAAAATAAGGCATTTACCAAGTGATCTCTGAGGATCTAGCGTCCCCAACAAACTGGAGAAAAAAGATTATTCAAATAAACAAATTTTCAGCAATTTCGCTTGCATATCCTTATGTTATAGACATACTTAGGGAAGGAAACTAGTTCACCACTGCCAGTATGAAAAATGTTTTCTTTTATCAATATTATTTTCTCTACTAATCTGGATATTTTTGATAAAATCGTATTACTAATTGAATTACCTAAATATAACCTAATAGTCTAATTTATCATACGAATTTTCATAGGTTAATGTATGGTTTACGTTTGGATGTTGTTGTCTTCAAGCCAAGGATTTTGTAAAAGCTGAAAATGCTTTTCGTTCTTGTGTTCGTTTAGATCCAGATGTAAGTTTTACATATTTCTAATTCATCGGATATCATTGTGTATTATACAATTTATTTAAGGCCATCAACTGACCTAGTAGTTACTTACCTTAATTAACTGAAATTAATCATATATATGTGAAGATTATTCATTTACGATTTATGCAGTTTTATTTTCTCTACAATAACTCAAACATTTTTGCTTATTGTATTCACTAAATACATTTAATTTCTCAGTATCCTTTTTAAAATAATGACATTTCGCATACATCAACTCGGTCTTAAATAAAGCGGGAAACTAGATACTGTTATGATTATTAGATTAAGTTATATCCGTTAATAAATACTTTTAACAATGTTGCGTGATTGAAATTAAATTTCAATTTAACATGAAAAGATTTTATGGGAATATACCTCTGTAATCCGCTAGCTTTTGTGTGTCACTGCTACAAATTACATTTTATCTTGTAATTTTGTCTGTGTACGTTAGTCTGGTTCAAATTTATTGTGCAAAGTCTAGCGACACTACTCGATTACTTTCAATGGAGTTCTTTTCGAACTTGGTTGAAACTCGAGTATTCTAACCATCAAATCGATTCTTCATATCTAGAAATTTGCTTAGGATATTTATATAATGGTTTTTGTAGTAAATATAATAAACAAGATGATGTTCACCCCAAGGCATCAACACTGGAATCCAGGTGTATCCAACTGAAGGGTCCTAAATAGGGCCGAACGCGCGTTCTGGATATTTATTTATTTATTTGAACACATGAATATTGGTACAAGAGAGCGCCAATATATATGCGCCACACAAAACAATGAAAATTCGAGAGGAATACAAAGAAAGAAAAAAAAGCTAAGGAGCGCAAAAAAGAGAACAATAACGAAGAGATTGGTGTAATGTAGTGTGGTAGTAATCAGGGAACAGAAAGGTACAATCGGAAGAAATCTTTCAGGTAAGGGAGACACAACCACTTTTTATGAAGAAAGCAAAAGAAGGTTACAGCAGGATCGCCACTGGCTTCTATTCTGAGCCATATCTTGTAACGTCACTAGCCACTGTGTAGCACCATCTCTCAGACCCCAACTAGGGAGTCGTGAAGGACCAACACCAGCCAGTCCTTTGCAGCTTTCTTTCATACCACGACACCATGTCATGCACTGACCACCTCTCCGCTTTTTCCAACCAGTCCCAGAGTCGGCAAATAATGCATGACGTGGAATTCTCTGAGACGACATTCGGAGAACATGTCCAAGCCACCGAAGTCGGTGTTTCAAGATGGTGACACCAATTGCATTATCATCTCTGTGCCCAAACACACGATGCCGAACCTCTGCATTACTGACATGGTGTTGCCACCGAATGTCAGCAATCCTTCGTAGACAGCGATGATCGAACACAGAGAGTCGTCTAACGTCCTCAACTCGGAGAGGCCAGGTTTCACAAGCATAGAGCCAAACTGCTCTCACCGACGCGTTGTAAATCCGACCTTTTACGGCCAGACTGACATTACGAAGGCGCCAAAGATGGCCCAGATTGGCATAAGCCGCTCTGGCTTTCACTATTCATGCATTGATCTCATCACTCAGACCCCCACCAGCACTTATGCAGCTACCCAGATACACGAACTTCTCGACTACGTCTATCTGCTCACCATCCAGGGTGAGTACAGGATTAGAATCCTGCCAGTCTTGTAGAAGTACTTTGCACTTCGAAGATGCAAAGCACATACCATACCTACGGACACTGATTGTCAACTGATTAAGTGCGGATTGCATACCTTGGGCATTATCGCACAGTAAGACAATATCGTCCGCATACTCAAGGTCGAGAAGTCTTTCTCCAGGCAACAGATCCACACCACCATTACTTACATCCATCAGAGCTGTTTCTAGAATGTCATCGATGGCAAAGTTGAAGAGGAATGGTGAGATTGGGGCAACAATGCCTAACCCCACTGCTTGAATGGAACAATGGAGAGAGGTGGTTGTATGCCCTCACTCTTCCTGAGGTGTTTGTATATAGGGCTTTTAGGATGTTAATAAACTTCTCAGGCACACCCTTCTTCAATAGACAATCCCAGAGAACAGTCCTGTCCGGTGAATCGAAGGCAGCCCTGATGTCAAGAAACACTACGATTGTTGGCCTTTGACAAGTATGGCGGTGTTCTAACATTTAGCGGAGGGTGAAGATGTGATCAATACATCCTCGACCAGAACGAAACCCAGCCTGCTCCTCGCGAGTCAATCTTTCTCGGGTTTTGAACAACCTACGAAGTATGACGGAAGCCAATAGCTTGGACGCAATCGGAAGTAGATTTATACCCCAATAGTTGTTACAGGAACGATGTGAACCCTGTTTAAAGAATGGGACAACTATCGACTCATTCCATGACGTTGGCACACTCTCTAGTTCCCAAACCTTTTTAAACAACGTCGTCAATTCCTTAGTCAGAAAGTCACCTTCATCTTTAAGAAGAGCCGGAGGTAAGTCATCTGGGCCCGGTGATTTGTAACGCTTCAAGAGTTGGAGTTCCTTGCGGACTTCCTCCTCATTTGGTGGATCAGTCGTCACCGGCCGTGGAGGGCAGGACAGTCTGATCGATGTTGCCGGAGGAGCAGGCCAGTTGAACTGCCCTTCGAAAAACTCTGCTCATCGTCCAAGACGTCGATGGATGTTAGTGATTGGCATCCCATCATCCTCGCAGATTGTTTCGCTCACACCAGACTTCTTGCTGCCAGTGGCTCGGATGAGTTGGAAGAGCTTCCGGTAGTTACCAGATGCAGCTGCTGCTTCCAGCTCATTAGCACGCATCGACCACCAGGCTTCTCGGTCCTTACGCAAGCTTCTCCCGATTACATTAAGTAACATCCTTCGTTTATGGTCAAACTCACGGTTACCCGGAGTAGACCGACAAGCTTCAATGAGTTGTAAGGAACCAGAAGAAACCCAGTGCTTAAAAGCGGGACGTTTCGCAAACCCACAACTGACTGTTCCCGCCATTTTCATGGCGTCATGCAATTGCAACCAATGCTCATCTATACTTTTCGGTGGAGTGGTAGTTAGCCTAGAGGCTAGCTCGGTTCGATACTTACTTGCAACAGAAGTTGCAACCAGCTTGCTAACATCAATCCGTTGATGGCGTTCACTTCGTTGTCCACTGAAAAGTAAGGCAAGATTGGCGCAGACCAGGGCATGGTCAGAGTCCAGATAGGTACTCTAAGAGGAGCGGCAGTCTTGTACACAACCACGCCAGCGGTAGCTGATCGCGATGTGATCAATCTGAGTCCAGGCTTGAGATGCAGAAGGAGGACACCAGGTGGCACATCGGCGATGACTGTGGAGAAAGTTAGTGCTAACTAGAAACAGGTTATGGTCTGTGCATAGTTGCAGTAGACTGTCCCCGTTACCTGACCTGCGACCAACGAGTCCCCATCGGCCACCTAAACGACTCTCTTCTGTGCCTAGACGCCCGACCTGAGCATTCAAGTCTCCGGCTAGTACTACAATATCTGTTGAACGCACTTTCTGGAGAAGAACAGTTAACAGGTGGTAGAATTCATCCTTGATTGCATCCGGGCTGCAATCTGTTGGGGCATAGGGGGAGATGACCAAGAGACATCGTTTCTCACGCCGATTTCTTCTCACTTTGATGGAACTCTCTAATCTAACAGCACATAACCGACTGTTAATGGGGATCCAATCGACTAGTGCTGCCTCAGCTCTAGCGCTTAGTGCGACACCAACGCCAGCAAGAGCAGACGAAGATGCCACAGGGTCCCCGGATAAGCGCACGGAAAACATGCTTTTCAAAGCGACAGATGGAGATCGAATTTGTAGTACTTCACCAGAGTCTTGAATACGGGTCTCGGATAGACAGCAGACATCGATATAAAGACTTTTCAAAGACATAGCCAGCCATTTCTGTTGTCCGACCTGCATAAATGTGCGAACGTTGAAGGCAGTCAGTTTGAATGGTGCACGTGGTTTCAGAAAAACTGCTTCAGTACTCATATTCGGTGGTAACATACAATTTTCAACCGGACAATGACTCGAGAACGTTTAGATACAGTCGAATTTTCACCAAAGACGAGCCGCTGTATAAGTATAAAAGAGGGTGAATAATGTCGTAGTAAATAATAATAATAATGATAATAATAGTATTAATAATGACAATAATAGTAATAATAATTTGAATCAATTGATTGTTTTTCGAAGCGAGAAAAGTAGTTTCCATAGACATAGAGATTTCATCATTTGTGTGTGGGCTGTGATACTGCCCGGGTGCCCAAACTTAACCAGGTGGTTATCTTAAGGGGCCACTCCTCGAACCTTTGACCTAAAGGTCTAACCCACAAGGCAATGGAGCATCGTAGGGAGATGCAATCCCATGGTAGCCGGTGACCAACGATTGGTTCATACGCCATTTGTTCCCGAAGAATATTGGGGCCCATGTACACCATTGATTTGTGATCCGGTTAAAGCGCCGGACATTCGCTTTTCTTCCTCTCATTTTTGTAAACAACACCCCCGCCACGAGAAGGCAATGAGTAGGACCTCCCTGGCAGAGGCTGTATACGCGCGGCCGTGTGAGAGTATTTCGAGAGGGAGAGCGGACTCTCCCCAATCTTGGCCGTACAAGGGCATTCGGGGGGCGTTCCATTGTTAGCCACCATCCATCTTCGCTTATAATACCAAATATTTAGGTACAAAATATTCAACCCGGATGGTATGATTTACTGACTGGAAAGCACATTTCCTGTTTAAACATCAATTGTTTTAATTATCGATAGAGGGGTTACCACTCACTAAGATTGACATACATTTAATCGACGTATCTATTATCGAATTTTATTGCTATTGTTTCAAAACCGCTCCCAAATGCCCTGGTACGACCGAGAGTGAGGAGAGTTCACTCTCACAAATACTTTGTTGTTTCACTGATAATAAGAAAAGTCGAGAATGGCAATATAATGATTTATTCGATTGTTTGGGTAAAGATCAGGTTGAGAAATTATGCGCAGAATAATGGTGCAAAATAGGTTTGATTACATATTCCTCCATTACATATCAAGCCCCTACAACATGGAGTTTTCTCTCCACATGGTTCACCAAAGTGTCGCCCGTGACATTGCCCACGGTCACATTTGTACTCATCTTCGCAATCGTCATCTTTCCCGCAATATTCACACACTCTCCTACATTTATCTGAAAGCAAGCAACCAAAATATCACATCATTATGTGATCAAGAGCATTTCTGTTGAGCTAAACAACAACCAGTAAGTGTAAGCATGTTCTTTAATTATTAAGAAATATACAAGTATGAATCACGCAGTGAAAATGCTGTAAGGCGATTTGAGATTACTTACATGGAGGGAAACGATATTTTTTACACTCTCTTTCAAGTGATTTGGTGGAGAGAGCTAGCAATAGAATGGCCGAGCACAAAAACAGTATATTCATGCTGCTTTGTGTTCCACTGTTTTATGTCTCGGACCTTTTGTTTATATACTATTGAACAAACGACAAACCATTTATGAGAGTCACGTTCGTCAACTACTTGTCATCACATGGTTTTCTGGTAATCTGATAAAGTGTATCTGCCTCGTATTTCCAGCCATGTACGAAGTCAGTACACATTTAATGAGATTAGTCGGCTTTGTAGATTAAGGAGAATTTCACAACTTAAAAAAATTCATAAGTAAAGACTTTAGTAGAACAGCGTGAACTAGCCTTGTTAAATTAGGTGGTCGTCAGTTATTAACAACAAATGATACTTCAAAGAACAGAAGTGGCCCATTGAGCCACTGAAGACGAATGAAGGATGATTAAATAGAGAGATATTTCTTTTGAACTCTCTCATTTAATTGGGCTGCATAGTTTTAAAATGAAATCACAGTCGGAGTTGAACGTCAACGCTAACATGAATCAAGGTGAATATGCTTCAGAGTGGTAGGGCAATGAAGAAACTATCACTTGCATTAATTTTAGTTTTCGTTATTATGACCAAAAGCCACACCATTATGGTGACATAGTAGCATCTCGACTTTAGAGAGATGGGATGAGGAATTTCGTTTCTGGAATGCTCAAGTTGTATTGTTAACATTTAAAGTTCATTATTATATATGACCTTATCATTAACCAGTTAGGAGTGTTATTTGAATGTTGACGAACTTTAGATTCCTATCTTACCGTAAACACCGTGTAGTTATCCAGCGACCCGAACCCTTCCAATGCCCTGATACGGCCGAGAGTAGGGAGAGTTCGCTCTCCCTCTCGAAATGCTCTCAGATGGCCACGCGTATATAAGCTCTGCCAGGGAAGTCCTGATCACTGCCTTCTCGTGACCGGGTTGTTTTTTCACGAAATTGTGAGAGTGAAAAGCGAAACTCCGACGCTTTAACCGGTTTGGTGGACACGTGGGGTCCGCCTAGGGGAGTTGGAAAACCCTGATTCCAAATCAATGGTGCACATGGGCTCCGGTATCCTAAGAGAACAAATGGTGTATGAACCAATTGTTGGTCAGCGGCTACCATGGGACTGCATCCCCTGACGTTGCTCCACTGCCTTGTGGATCAGACGTTTAGGTTGAAGGCTCTGGGTGTGGCCCTCTAAGAAAACCACCTTCTTCGGTCTGGGCACCCGGGCAGTATCACCGCTCTCGCACAAATCATATGAGATTTATGTGGCACATATGTTGTTAGTGCCTCCTTGTACCACTATCTATGTGTTCAAATAATAATAGAGTTCATCACCGACTGCGGTGGCTTGGACATGTTCTCCGAATGTCGTCCCAGAGAATTCCACGTCGTGCATTATTTGCCGACTCTGGGACTGGTTGGAAGAAGCGGAGAGGTGGTCAGTGCGTGACATGGTGTCGTGGCATGAAAGAAAGCTGCAAAGGACTGGCTGGTGTTGGTCCTTCACGACTCCCTAGTTGGGGTCTGAGAGATGGTGCTACACAGTGGCTAGTGACGTTACAAGATATGGCTCAGAATAGAAGCCAGTGGCGATCCTGCTGTAACCTTCTTTTACTTTCTTCATAAAAAGTGGTTGTGTCTCCCTTACCTGAAAGATTTCTTCCGATTGTACCTTTCTGTTCCCTGATTACTACCACACTACATTACACCAATCTCTTCGTTATTGTTCTCTTTTTTGCGCTCCTTAGCTTTTTTTTCTTTCTTTGTATTCCTCTCGAATTTTCATTGTTTTGTGTGGCGCATATATATTGGCGCTCTCTTGTACCAATATTCATGTGTCCAAATAATTAAATAAATAAATCAAATAATAATAATAATAATAGTTTCAAAACTGGCCACGATCAAATAAAATTTTGAATGTGTTTTTGTAGTGCATCAAAGGGTTTATACGTAAAGGGCAACACAAATTCTGTTTGATTACTTTGATTCAGAAAATAAACACTAGAAATTGGCGTAATTCGGGTAATAATAACGCTGTCTTTTTGTTAAAATAGTTGATAAAAACTTGCATTTTACTTGTGAATAGTTTTTGACAAGTGTTTTTTTCGTGATTTCAGAATTTTGAAGCCTGGAATAATTGTGCGACTGCTGTTCTGATTCAAGGAAAAAAGTACGTCTTACGTTTTAGATAATGTTCATTATACTCCTCGACTATTAAAGCGCCCTTTGTAAATTTGTTACAGTATTCAGTTTTATGGTTTATGTGTTTTCTGATATCATTACAAAATGTAACATCACTTTTAATATCATTTTTAGTCATGTATCCTGTATAAAGGTTTGATTGTATATGTAATCGTTTCTATTACATAATAAAAAAACTATCTATTAAAGAGTTCCTTGTAGAATGAGTAAAATTTTATGTCCTGTAATGTGTCGTATGCTTTTGAAGCTTGTTAATGAATACTACCCCTTTCACAGAATACGTATATATTGATTAAAACCTTTTTGCATTTCTTCATAGGAATATAGCATTAAAACTAATGAAAGAAGCTTGCAAATATAGTTACGAAAACTGGCGCATTTGGGAAAATATTCTGTTGGTGAGTTTATTGATTTTCGGTTCTAATTATATTTATTGTTGTTTTATACTACTTTTCAACCTTCTTTACTGATAAATCTTAGTATTTAATAATTGCTTTCATCAAATAGATTCAACTATTTGAGTTTTCAGTATGGGGTTGTAGAAATTGTTGAATTTCATTTAAATCATGAACCAATCTAACTTGGATCACCAATGATAATCCGGACGCACTGGACGGCCGTTTCGTCACAATATGGGTTTTCTCAGCACTGCGCGTTCGTGACCCATAACATGAAGACTGAACCCAGAATCTTCCTTCTCACGCGCGAAATTCTGATCTTTAGACCGCCGACTTAGCATCCAGCGGTGTTAATGTCTAACTTCAATCAATACACGGCCATCTTCCATTGTCTTTGGTGGTTAACTGCCTCACGCCCGACATGATTTAGCTCGATTGTTCACGGCTTCTCACTGGGACTCCCTCTCGAAGCTAATTACTAGTGCGCACATGATAATTTTCATTGTGGGATTTTGTACATAGTTGAGTCTCATTGAAATCATAAACCGACCCAAGTTGGTTGGTTGCCAGTTCAGTGGTCTGGCGGTTAGGCCTTCGTGCGTCAGCTCGGCTATCTTGAATTTGATTTCCGAGTGTGGGATCACGGATGCGCACTTCTGAGTAGTGATATATTAGGACGAAACGGCCTTTCCATGCTTCTAGGTTCTCAATGGTTGTCCAGCTTAGATCATCTAATGATTTCAATGATGTTCGTGTTGTAATCGATCAGTTAGTTTGGTTTATTTAAGAAACGTGTACTTATATATTACGAAATGCAGTATCAACCTGTTTATATTGATTGATTCCAAAAGACTGAATTACTGATTCCACAAACTATTTAATTGTATATGGAAAACAAAATAAAGAAAGCTTATCGCATTAATTTCGTGTTAAATATTTGACTTTTAATTGTACATATATGTGTCCATTGGGACAGTTAGTCTACTCCTAATACTTTTTTCAGTTGCATATGGTTGAGGGTAGTATATATTGTTTGTTTTTTGGTGCTGGTTGTGCAAGAATGTTAAATTGGCCACTACTTCAGACTTGAATACAACATTGTTTCATCTATTTTCTCTTGCTTATTTGTTGAATATATAATCGTGTCGTTACCGATTTTGTTATATAATGATTGTATATTTCTTGTTCCGATTAAATTCATTCAAGATTAGTGCTGATGTAAAAGCATTTCATGAAACTATGCATGCCTATCATCGCCTATTAGATTTACAGGGAAAGTATGCGAATCCACAAGTTCTCAGTGTTATGGTTAAAGGTGTTGTTTTAAATGAAATGGATTCTACAGGAAACCCTGTAAGTAATTTACGTGCCAGGCTGCTTGAATTGTTTGGTCGAGTTACAGCATCTGTAAGTTTTACACTTAGTTATGTTAGCTCAATGTATAATTTGAGCGTATGATAATATAATACATGTCCTAGTTACTGTAAATCTTGCGATAATTAATTAATCATTTGATAATACATTAAGAGATTTAAGATTTTCTGAAAGTTGTGTCATTTTCTACAGTTTTCTCACAGCGAAAATACCGGGAACTGTCCCTAATAGAATGAAATGAGATGGTTACATAAAAGCAGTGTTATGAAATATTATTTTCACCATAAATGTTATAACTAGAAACTTTCTGTCGTGTTAGTTTTATAAAACCTAGTAGTACTACCTAGTTGTCCAAACTCTTAGTGTGTGAAGAATCTTTCGAATCTTCAACCTGGTGGCCAAAAGTCAAATGCTTTGACTGTCGGAAAATTCGACTAAAATTGCCTGGAGTTAGTGTTATTCAATTAACGATGTTCGAAATTTCAAATGACGCAATAAAACTTATTTATAGTCACCATTACAAAAAATTATGGTAAATACTTATACAATTTTCATCATAGTCATGCAAATTCTGTTGTCATTTCTTTATTCGAAAATTGTTTTATTAACCACTAGACTCCTAACGATGCTGTTATATGGAATGAATATGCACATCTTCTGGTTGATGAACTTCCTCAAATGACTTATACTACATATCAACGTGTAAGTTAGATTGATTTTCAAGAACATTTACCCTTGTTTAATATGATGATATACATTTTTTAGGCTGACTATTGAAATTTGAATTTCCACCCAAATTGTACAAACTGTCACCCGTTTGGTAATAATGTAAGACACTTTTTTTTGGATCGTCGCTTACTTTTGAGTCAAATCATTTGTCTTTGCGAAATTAAAGGTGTTGATTATGAACAACACAAATGGATGGTAGATACTGTATTAGGAATTAATTTGTATGATTTTTTTTACAACATACTAAAGAATGTAGTAATACTACTTCATAACAAAGGCTTAGTTATAGTGAAGTTGGACTGTGGCTAATGATAAAACTCATGATATCTTTTTCTTCCTATTTGGGACTTATCAGCTGGAATATACATGAATCTATTAATGTTCACACAGATTTCAATCTTTTACTTTGCGTTTCAAATCCCAACTACCTAGTCTGTATGGGATGAAACCCTCATCTTGAATACCACTGGTGTCCACAGTCCAACTTCACTTTAACTTGTACTTAAAGACAATTCACTCATAATGCACATATGCCAATAGAGTCTAATCGTTAGTATCATCGACAGAAAATCCCAAAATCATACATAGTTAGTTTAAAATTATAGAGAATCATTGTTTTTATTTACCCAAACTTTTAAAAATTCTCAGTGACTGAAATCTTTCCGCCATAGATGAATGATCACAGTGACTACCTAGACCTTTAGTGATTTTTATTTTTGATTCTTATGAGTTATCAGTATTTTCTCTTATTTCTAGGATTCTAGAATAAAGCAAAATATGACATTATCGATGAAGTATTTCAAGTAAACATATGTTGATACGATATTAAGTTTAACTGACCACTCATGTTGTAAGACGACTAAAGTAATAATGAAATTTTACATTGTAATTAGATTTTCTTTTTTTAATGCATTACTAGGCTGTCCACTGTCTTCAAGCAGCTCATCGTTGTCGTATACAACCGAGTGAAGGACCATGGGAACAATCAACAAAGAAATGTGAAGCTATTATTGATGGTTTAAAAGCTTTACTTGATTTATTAAATAATCCTCCGAAATCGAAAAATGATAACGAATCTAACGAAGAAGATCAACTTAATACCTTCATTCAATCAACCTTGGCCACTCTTCGAATAAGCCTAAAATCTGTAATTTCTAAATTGAAGGTAAGCTTTTTTCAGCCTATATTACATAATACAGTCTGTAGTATTGACTTATTGCCTACCGGTGTCTTATAAATTGCGAATTATTTCTATTCATACAGCTTTAATATGTATATGTACATAATAAGTATTTACTTCTTTCCATAATATTCAGCAAGTTTTTAAGCCTTCACTTTCATGAACTCCTAGTTCATCTGCGAATTGCTCTTAGTCATACTTTATGCCATTCATTCTGTGTTACTTCAATTAGAATTAAAAAAATACCTCCGGACCTCATTAACAGTACAGCGTTTAGAATAGTAACATTTGTTTGCGGTTATTTCGTTACATTTTTATTTCTGCCAATGTCAATTTTAATTGTGGTTTGTAAATTCATCTCTATAAATTGAATATTTACAGTTTATTTCTTTAATGATTTCTAGATTGCTGAAGAATCTATTCTTTCCACCGATGTTCAAGATATGATTCGTTCCTCACTTAAAGATTTAAATGAATTGTTAATTGATGTTGAAAAGAAATTAAACTAAACTCTTACATTGTATATGCTTTTTTATGGACTATCGTAATATGAATAAAAGTTTGAATTAAGCTCTGATTCTTTTGATTTACTAAGTTCGATGTGTATATGACTTCATAATTGCGTGGGTTTGTACATGTAGTTCTGTTGTTTGCAATGTCTGTCTAGAATTATAAATTCCCTTAGTATCCTGTGGTTTCATTTATATTGTTTCTGTTAGCCTCGTGATAGTTTAGAAACGACATTAGATTTTCTTGCTGATACACTAAATGTTATATGTCATATTAGCCGTATTGTTACTTACTTTTTTGAAGTTGTAAGCTGACACTATGAGTATATCTTTGCGTATTACCTGTTGTTTGATAATTATAGTGTATTAGGGATGCGGAAAGGAAACTATGAAAAATAGTTTTCAGCATACACTTAACAAATATATCCGTTAAATTTGTTTAATATTGAACAACTTTTCTCAGCAGATTAAAATTACTTTGTGGATAAACTGTATTGATTGTTTAAATAATGACTTCGATATTGCAGGGCGACGCAATCTAATCACTGACTTCAATTGTTCAGTGCAAGTGGACGAGTTACAGACTACATATTAGTGTATAATATTGTGGTTTAAGCGCGTTATTCTTCAAGAACCTTAAGGTGTTTGAATTTATTGTGTAACAATGTACACAAAGACTTATCGAAATTGAAACTAAAGTGCCTCCCCTTATTTACGAAGTTTGAAATACATTGTCTAGAGACTTTACATGAGACTATTGGTTGTAAAACTTGATAACTCATGTTTATAAACGTAATTAAATATCCTTTGTTGACCTAGAACGTCTATGCATGTACTCCTATATTGTGCAATATCATATCTTGATTATATCTGGAATGATGTTGAGATGAAATTCAGGACGAATGTTTCTTTTTCGATTCTAGTCTGGATAATAACAACACGACATTCATACCTATAGCTCTATTCAGTACTATATGCTTAATACAATATCGAATTCCTAACGTACAATATCTCAATTATTTCCCTTTTTTATTCATAGACTTCCCAAAATATATGTATGTACATGGTTAAAATAAGGAAAATGCAGTACATTTGTTGTGAGAACTGATCGATCTTAACAACTTTTTCGTCGCTTAGTTTATGTTCTATACTGTAGAGCTCTTAAACTCTTCTTTGTGTGTATAGATTTTAATGTACTAGTGTCTCGTTTTGCGAGAAAGGGTGAGTCCCCCCAAGAAAACCACCTGCTTCGGTCTGGGTACCCGGACAGTATCACAACCCTCACACATATCAAATGAGATTTGTGTGGCGCATATGTATTTGGTGCCTCCTTGGACCAATATCTATGTGTTAAAATAAAAATAATACAGCGGAAAACATAGGAATGGAGAGTGGATGGTTCGTGTCTGATAGGATGTTACTTGCAGTTCTTTACAGGGTTTCAAATATTTATTGACAACTGTATTCATAACAACCTCAGAAGATTCACCATATATTCCACGATCAACCTACATCGCACCATAATCTTTTCTCAGAAATCTAGCAAAGAATAATGAGGAACGGTATAGATTATTTGATAATACACAGTAATTTACAAATCGCCAAAGTATTGAGTAATCCCAAAACCATCTAGCCTATTCTGATAAGTTAGGTTAAGAACTTATGTCAATGTTAACGAAGCACAGGAAGGCCAAGAGATATCTGAAATAAAACCTATGAAATGCTACAGTTTTTACCATATAATTTCGAGTAGTACAAATACTATGTTATTATAGTAGGATATGTACATCCTTTTCATTACTTGGTCTGAAGTTAACAGCTTGATATTTAGAAAGATTAAATGTAAGACTTCAAAACAGACCGTATTTCAGGATTGGCTGGTAGCTCATTGATTTTTAGGGAATTCGAAGAGGAAGAAATTCCCATTCATAGACTAGGTTTGTTTGCATTTTTAATAAAATGGTTTTTCTAGAAAATGAAAGGTCCAAGGAAAGCGAAATTAAAGCTCCTTGAGATATCCCAACTTTTTTAACAATGCTATGGAACATTTTTCTCCACACACATTTCATTATTCTTTTAGTTATCACGCTCTCTGTTTCGGGTATCGAAAGTAATTATCACCTTTTTTAAACTAAGTACTATTTTATGAATCATAACAACTGCTGAATTCAAGGAGCTCCTTTCAAAATCAAGTAAATTTAGTCAAGTCTCAAATAGTACAAAATTTATATTCCAAATTCAATTTCATTCATTATCAAATGTTGTAAACCATATTCATTGTTGAATGAAACTAGCTTAAGGGCTTCAACGTTTGACTCTAGATACTTGATTTGATCCTCACTTTCTAATTCGATCCACCATATAAATATACAACTGACGAATGTTGTGTATATTCTCTTTTATTTACACTTGTACATTTTGTCTTTTGAAATCATTTACTCTGAGTAATTAACCCAATTTTTTTTTTATTAATTCTGGTTAAATTTATACTGTAAGTATTTCATTAATAAACTTCGATTCCTTTATTTTTCCGTGTTTATTAGATCAATAATTTCACATTAGTCCTAAAAGATACTTCTAAAATTATGAAACTAGAACTTTTACAGTAATAAAGAAATTCGAGTTTCTTTTATATCTAAGTTCAAATAGTTACCCTAAAATTATCTTAGTTTGTAAAGCTGAATAGTCTTTTTTCTGAATTGGTTAAAATTAACTATGTATTTCAGTCGAATGTTTTCTGCTTACTTTAAATTTTTAGAGGATCGTCACTATATTTAAAAAGAGATGCAGCTGTCTAGTTACCGATTTTTCCATCTATTACATAAATTGCGTAACCATTACAAATTTAATGAGATTTCTTGTGTTTATTTGAATCATCACAATTATTGTCAACAATCTAAATCCTTCCAACCTCATTTTAATCTGAATTTATTTAACGATGAAAAGTTCATTGAAAATGTACGTGCAAATTTAACAGCTCGTAAAAGTAACTTAAATCTTGATCATATGGTAAGATTTTCGTTACAATATTGTCTTATGTATACATTAACCATATACTTATATTCATGTATATACAGTTTTTAAGCCAAAAGAATAACAGAATTCAAAATATATTTAATTGTTCTAATATCATGTACAGTTCTAATTTCACATACATTAAAATTAAATATTGAAATTCATTTATAAATAATACTTCAATGAAAGAATCGTTGATTATTGAATAGCTCTTAATTGATTATCACTTAAAACGGATGTGATCAAAAAGACAACTGTTTAAATATCTATCTCTTAACTTCTAAATGAATATATATTGATCTTATCCTTGTTTTAAATGGTAAATCGTACTATCTGAGTTGAATATTTTGTACCTAAATATTTAGTATTATAAACAAAGATGGATGGTGGCTAACAATGTAATCCAGAACGTGCGTTCGGTCCTATTTAGGACCCTTCAGCTGGACATACCTGGATCCCAGTGTTGATGTCTTGGAGTAAACATAGAAGCAATCCACACAGGATGCATATATGACAATAAGCGAGTGATCAATTGCAGTCCTAAACATCAATCGGAATATTCAAACAGCCAACACAAAATGAATTTAAATAGTTGGTAGTTCTATTTTTCTAACCATTGTTTGAGCCGTCAGTTTAGTAAATGAATTGTCATTTCGCCATTTTATTTATTCAAGCTCATGACTAGTCATTGATATTTAACATTAAAGAGGAAGGATGTATTTGTAAAGTTTCAGCTATTGAATTTGAAGTAAATCCAACGTTTCGCCTGGTAATCTGGTCCAAGCTTTTTCAATGAAATATAATTATCGAATATAAATAGGTACATGGTTCTCCGGTTCACTGAATAGGTAATCCAATCAACATTAACAATGTTTGAAGTAGGTATTTGCATTAGTGTGTAAGAGACATGTGATGTGATTCGAAAAGGGCTAAGATAATATAATGTGTAGACGTGAATGGTGTGAGAAGCAATTTCTCCGGTCGGTGAATTTTAAGAAAACATGATTTTTATATATAATATGAATCAAAAATGCCACAGAATGCACAAATTGCAGATAAATAAACAAGATGAAGGAATGAATTCAAGGAGGTAGAATGTATTTGTAACTGAATGTTTGTATTATTTTGATGTTCCAGTTAATTGTTTAACATACTCAGATACGGCAACTGATTGAACCGTTAAATATAATTGCTGTTATTCAGATAATAAGAGATAGATAAAATGGAATAGGGAGTTCATGTTTACTTATTAATTATTAGTAACTCAGTTGTTCGGAAACGGGTACTAGGTAAGGATGGCAAATCAATTGATGAAGTGGTGAAACTTCATCAGTTGAGATGGCTGGGACACATGTTACGTATGCCCAACCACCGACTGCCTCGACGTGCTATGTTCAGTGATATAGGAGTAGGTTGGAAGAAAGCTAAGGGCGGCCAAACCAAAACATGGCACAAGTCCGTGAAGTCACTGACAAGTGAACTGAGCCATGTTGGTAGGTGTAGACCATCTGGTTGGGGACCGCGAGATGATAGCAACCGATGGTTAGAGACCCTGAATGACATGGCTCAAAATCGTTTGCAATGGCGCAGGTGCATCCACTCTCTGTGCTCTCTCAAATTCTAATCTTCTGGATTCTTCATGTCCCTTATTTTCTTTCCAAATTTATTTCACTGTATTATACTCCTTGAATAACATCTCCAAACCCTAATCTTTTCGATTACTGCTTGTGCTCTTAATACCTCTACCACTACGCGATTGGAATCGATAATTGTATTTGTGTGCTAATGTGGTATGGCAACTCGAACTGATGTACGTACGTACGAAGTTCTACGTTATTACTGACTGACTATTGATTGTTAGTTGCCATAGGATAGCTAATTGTATTCCATCTCTCATACTGGATTTGTCCATATGTGTAGGGCTTCGACTGTTAGTCTCTCTTTGTAAGAATTAAAGCCCTTTTGAAGGGTTCTTGTGCCATTGAAATAAATTGTATGACTCGATTCTATAGAGTGTAATGCTATCGCTGATTTGTTCTCGAGTTTCC